TGAGCGCTCGCAGGCGATTGGCCGGCGCCCACAGGGCTCGGCTCGCGGATTGGCCCGCGCGGCTGTCGCTCGGCGGGAGGTCAGGGCGGCGCTGAGGTAAAAGCGGAGGGACGAGGCGGGCGGCGGGTGTTGGGGRTGGATGTGTCTTTGGAGCGTGTCCAGCTCTAGGGATTTCGCTCCCTACGTGGTGGTTTCTCGGAGGGCGGTGAGAAGCAGCCCTCGATGTTGGGAATGGGCGGCCGGGGAGACCCGCAGCGTTTCAGGAGCAGGGGGAAGGCTCAGGGGCGGGGAGAGGGAGGAACTCTGCTTTTTAAATGCAGTTGCCATTAAAACACGGCTCGAAAGGACATGTGCAACAGCTGTGTTGTAAAGTTCGGTACATTTGGTCCAGGCTCAACAGGAGAGCGGAGCCTGTAGGGGTGTTTGTACCTTGTGAGGGCCCAGCCAGGCCTCTTTGCAGCCCTGGCCTGCAGAGAAGTGGATGCAGGTGGAAAAGAAACGTGCAGCTCTTGCTCAGACCTTTTCTTAGGGAAAGCCTCTTAGCTATAGTGAGTATTTGGTTTTGTTCCAGTGAGCTGGGTATCCTTTCAGGGGCACCTGTGTCTTCATGCTCTGTTCTTTCCTCCCATCTTCAGGCCAGCAGAGCTGTGTGTTTGCGAGGAGGGTCTTCAAGCTGTCCTGAGGAGATTCCACCATTGGTCATCACCTTTCCATGTGGACACCTACAGCAGCCCCAGGTGTCCAGTGAGAGGCTCATTGCATGATCAGATTACATTCYAGCAAGGAGGAACACCCATGGAAAGCAGAAGTGGCCTTTGCAGCAATGAGATCTCTCAGTCACCTGCTGCTCCTGAGGTTCTTGGGTCTCTCATCCCAACGTGTGTCAGCAGGACTGAGGCAGACTCCTGTGCTCAGCCCCAAGCAGTTGCCTCCAAGTCAGAGCTTCAGCACAAGAACAGGGCTGAGGAGTGCAASTGAGGTGGGCAAATATTGGCTAAAGGTGTTTGAGACAAAGGGGATCCCTGAAGCACGGGAATCCAGTGAATATATCGTGTCCTTTGTCCTGGGAGCAAAAACAGTTGAGTAAGAGGAAATGGGTAAGGTCGTTATCTGGTATAGTGCTCACACATTCATTATCTTTGTATGAAGATGCATTTATATTCAATTTATTATGAAAGGTTAGAAATTCCTGAGGAAGGGTCAGGAGTGGAGCTTGGCAGTTGCCTTTACAAGCAGGGCTATCTTGCTTCAGCAAACACTCAATGGAAACTATGGACACCAATAGCCAAGACAAGGTGGGGCCTGCTGTCTCCTGAGAGCATGATGCAAAGTGAAGGAGGTGGCTGATTGGCACTACCTACCTGTGTGTTCCTAGTGTCTTGTCAGGGTTAGGGAGTTAATTGTGCCCCAAGTTCACAGACGGGCTGGTTCCCTGCTCTCTCCCCATGCTGCTGAGCACTGCGAGTGCTGGCACAGAGCCTTGTTCCAACAGAGCAGCACCAGTTACAGCAAGGAAATCTTGCACAAAGCCAAGGTCTCCGTCACCTTGGGACATAGCTTTTCAGCAATACAAACGTGGTTGCATTTCTTCATGTTGACCAAGARTATGTGCCACCTAAAGCTTTCCCAAGGCCAGTCCTCTGCTGATGCAGTTCCTTGAGCTTCCAGAGGACTTTCTCTCCTCTTGTGATGGTGAAACAGTGAGTACTTTGTGCTCTGCTCCAGACTCTGTGGATCCTTCTGTTTAGGGCTGAACCTTTGGCTTTTCAACAACGTTACAAGAGCCAACTGCAAGTGCTACCTAAAACTTGAATTGGTTTTATTTCCCATTTAGAGAAAAAAAAAAAAAAAAGCGTTCATGACTAATCCTGGGAGCTGTCCCAAGCCCTTGTCACAGCTCGGGAAAGATAATTTTCTTGTAATCTGATGATGGGCAGGTTATTTGGACAGGAAGAGCAAAGGGACAAGATCARACTATTTGCGAGCACCTGGCAGACCGTTGCTTTAAGCATATGCTGCTTCCAGGAACCATGTACTGTGTGTAACCTCTTAAACAAAATTGCTGGTGTCCAGCTCCTTTCCTTCTGCCAGGTTGGGCATTGCAGACTGTGAGCTCTATAGTGTGTTCGGGTTGGGTTTGCTCATGTTTTGTTCATCAGAGTCATTTTCTAGACCTCTTTTGGACTTTAAGAACTGGGGTAACAATACATCCCCTGCAAAAATGTCCTATTTGCTGTCTATCTTCAGTGTTTTTTTTTTTCTCGCTAGCATTTTTAAGGTTAATAGTGCTGAAAGGGTTTTTGAAATGATGCCTTTGTCAATTCTCTTGGTCGCCTATGTGTTACTGTAATATTGAGGATCCCTGTCTCACCACTGTTGAGTCACTGTACTACCACAGAAGGGACAATTTTGTTTCCCAAATGAGGCTTTCTGAAACACAGCCTGGGCATCATGGCAGTATCATGGTTCAAATGAAAACAGGACAGAGAAAAGAAGAACTCAGATCAACCACAGATAGATAATTCCCTTTTTTATTATTATTATTTTTTATTTTTTTAAATCCAGGTAGCTACAGGSTAAATTAAGCTCCACCATGACACCGTTAAGAAAATATTTAGTTTGGTGTGGGGTTTCTACCAGGGAAGTAGATTTGGTTTTGTGGCCCTGCTGTCTTTTACCCTTAGAGGGCACTCCAGGCTTAGGTTTAGAGAGCTCCTGTCTCTTATAGGAACTATTTTTCACTGTTGATTGTTACAGGATTTCTGCTGTGTTCTGATCTCCTCTTGGATGCTGTATTTTAAAGCAACCAAGGGTGTATTTGTTCAGTGGAACCAAAAGCAACCTCAATTCTTTCCCAGCAGCTCTGTGTGGATCATGTGGATCCACTTAAGAAGTGCTGCTTGCTCATTTTAGTTAGTCTTGTGCCTATTCATAAATCTTTTTTCCACCTGTAACTTCTAAGCTTTCGTTTCCCACGGTGGATTGTCTTTGCCATGCTTATGTGTGTGATGCACCGAAGCCGCTCGCACCTTTCCGTCAGCAGGATGGCGGTAGTTGTGCCAGGGTGTTCTTTGAAAGCCTTTTAAGCAAATGTTTGCATCAGAGAAACCTTTCTCAAAGTTTAACCCACTTCTAGTTTAGCATAATTGTTAATCTTTCATGAAGGTCARGCACACAAAAAAGGGAGGACTTTTACTTTCCAACAAGTCTATTAAAGAGTGCAGATTGCAAGACTGGGGGGCTCTCTGGAACTTTTTTTATGCTGAAGCTGTATGAATTTTCTGCTTTAATTGGTGCTACCTGGAAGCTGTTGATGCAGCATCTACTTTTGCTTCCCTAATTTTATTGCCATTGATTATTTTTTCAGAAGATCCAGGAGGCCACAGGTGTCTGGCGAGCGTAGCCATGGGTCAGGAGGTTGCTTCTTCAAAGGGAAGCTGCTTTCCTGAGTCTCTGGCTTCCCAATTTGAAGGGGGGAAAAAAAAGTGATGAAGTCCGATCTTGTACACGGCTTGAAGTCTTTTCTAAAAGACATAGAGAGGGTATCAAGCAGAAAGGTAGTAGAGTATTAATGGGTCAAAAATTAACTGCCTTCTCTCAAAAAGTAGTTGTAAGAAAGCTCTTTAGTGAGCTGTTATACTGGYTAACTCCAGTGAGCAGAAATTTGATAATGCAAGTTTCGTCAGTTCATCAATGACTATATCATGTTAAACAGGTTAGAAGGAGGGGTACATTTTTAACGAAGAATGTAACTRCTGAAACCTGGCAGGGTTTTTGGTGGCTTGGCTTTAGAAACTACATGATGTTTTTGAGAGAGTTCCTGTCACCTCTGAGAGGCTAAAATTCAAGGTTTTATATAAGTGGCTTCTTTTTCCCTTCATTTTCTTGCATTTTCTCCTACATGGGAGGCTGACCTGGAGCCAGTGATTGGAAAAAGTGAAGCACATTTAAGTAAACTCCCGATTTTGCTGATGACAGTTTAAAGGCGAGCCCTTGCGCGAGTGGTGCATACTTGGTACCCCCTGAGCTCCCAGGGAGCTTTTCGGGCTCCTGGAAGGACGGGCGCTGGTCATGCCATGTCCTCTGCACCGCCAAAAGCGGGAGGCATGACTTTGGAAGATTGTTTCTCYTGATCTAGTCTTGCGCTAGGAGCTGTTACTAGCTGCTCTGGAGACTTGCAATCATTACCAGAAGCTCCACTGCCCTCTTCCATCATTGGGGATCACACTACTCTGCACCAAGAGGGTCTTAAGTTCAGAAAACATTTCTGCCACAGAGGGACTGGGGAAGAAAGGGCACAGGAAGCCCTTGGCTCTGTGCAGCACCATTTCTCTCTCACAGGATGAGAGAGGCTCTGCTGTGGATGCAGAGGACACCCCTGCCTTCCAGATGATCAGAAAGATCCACTTCATTTCCACGGAGCTGATCATTGTCTGTGATGTCTGTGCCCTTAAACGTCCCCTGGGTTCTGTGGTAAGTCTGCAACATGGGCCCCCACGTATTACTCTCACGCTCCATAGGAGCGATGGRTGCTGGTGGGACTGAGCAGCTCCTTCCCCGAGCTAATTCTAGCAAGGAGGGATGGAGGCAGATATTAAGATTAATCCATCTGTGTTCCCCATACCAAGAAGGGTCGCACGTACAACCCTTTATTAGGGCATCCACAGGCTGAGCTTATTCCCTTCCCAGAGTAGGACTGCCTGCCAAGTGCACCCAGGACTCCTGTGTGATTTCTTGTCCATTGCAGTGCACTCCCACCCTGCCTTCCTTGCCACTATTCCCCTTTTCCTGAATTGTGGAGGCTGGGGGGTGGAATTATGCCTCCCTTTCCCCAATTTCCCATCGTCCTCACGCAGGAGTCTGGGTCACAGAAGTCAGTGTGTCTTCAGGAGAGCTGGATGCTGCCAAGTTGCAGCTGATCCTTGTGTGCTTCCCTCCTCTGCCCTAGCAGGAGCTCAGCTGCAAAGCATGGCCTGCTGCTGTGGCAGTTAGAACTGCAGCATGTGACCTGCCAAGCTGCTGCCTCAGGGAACAAGGTGACAGCTCTTTTGCCAGGTGCTGTGAAAATCAACCTCAGCCTTGCAATACTCAAGATTCAATTCCTTGAGGGAGCCCCTTGTTGTTTTCTAAGGCCTACCCTCAAATTTCAAACTCAACAAGAAGGTTTATAATTGCTCACAGCACATGTCGTCTGCTCCTCCCCACCACCAGCAGATGGAAATAAGCCCTCGTTCCACAGAGGAACTAATTCACCCAAAACAGGCTGGTAAGCGTCTGGACTCAAACACAGGGTAACTACGTGGCCTAGAGAAAGAGAGCTGCCATGGAACAAGCAAGGAGCAGCCGTTCAGGTTGACAGCACCACCAGAATGCCACTGTATGCAAGTTGGCAGGCCTGTCTGGACCCCTTGCATGAAATGAAGAGACTGCATATTGTATATACAAATATATATTCACAGGGAGATCCGCTGCGCCAACCCCAGCCCGCACACTGCTTCACTCAGTGCACAAGCGAGATGCTCTGGTGGGCCACAGCAAAGACGGGATAGAGGGGAGCAGTGAAGGTTTCCCGGTGGGAGAAGAGGATGGCGCAGGAATCGGGGTCGTAAAAGAGCACCTCGCCCCCAGCAAAGTCAATCAGCACGCCGAGCTCTGCCGGGCACTTGATCAGCTCCACGCTTTGCTCTTGCCCCGCGTGCAAGAACCTGAATTCTCTGTYGTAGCGCGAGAAGACCCAGGAGACGGGACTGTAACCCAGGCGGGCCTCGTTGCCCGAGCCCTTGCGCTGCAGGGAGCTGTATGAGACGCCCAGCTTGTAGGCGCAGCTCTTTTCCACRCTGATCCTCCAGGCACAGACTCCCGTGTGGAAGGACGTGGTAGCCAAAGCGTTGGGCCAGTGGTCAAATCTCTCAGGACCGTCCAAGTATGCCTTGGCTCTCTTGGGGCTGAACGTCAACGTCCTCTTGTCTTCAGACAGGGTCAGGTGGGGGCTGACGGTTTTTTCATCTATGTGAATCTCTTCGGAGCCTGTGAAAGAAGCCAAGCAGTGAGCGGAGACCCCAGAGCTCCCCCCTGAACCACCCCAATAGCCAGGAGCCTGAGGCTGAACCTGGGCAGGATTTAGGAAGCCAACTCAAGCACCTGCTGCTGGGGCGAAGACCTGAGCAGGACACTGCTAATTTTATTCTGGCCCTGCACTGAATTCACAAAACAGAAGTCAGCAGCATGGTCGAGCAGCAGTTTGGTTTATCCTGGGAGCAGGAAGGAGATCAGGGACTGGATGTCCCTGTCCTCGGACAAAAACTTGTCTGAGTTTCCACATGTGGTGAGGACAGACTCAAAGCTCAGCCCCATTCCTGGGAGTCCCTCTCAGTCAGGCTGCCACCCCTATGCAGAGTAGGAAGAGATTTCTCCCCTGGCCGGGAGCTGGAGCTGTTCGCAGAGAACCTACCAAGCCGGTAATACCAGAACAAGGAGGGTCAGCAAGGGCTGGGCTGAGCCCTCTGCTCCTGGGAAGCACAATGGAGCCTAAATCACCAAGCCACCACCCACCTAGAACATGTGTGCAGCAGCCCCAGGAGGTGACAGCAGGCGGTAAGACATGAACTTGACCAGGGCTCAGTTCAGTTTTGCAGAGATTGAAGGGGCAGTCGCACTTGTATTATGCCACCAAGCTAGGAATCTGCACAGCTGGGGTCAGAGCTGGGCCTGCAGACACAGGACAGGAAGGACCCCAGGCACCTGCCAGGGACAGGGGGGATGTCACCTGCTCTTCACACCCGTAGGCAAGTTGGGGGGGGGGGGTGACAGCATCTAGGCATGCTCATCTTGGGGCGACTACACATTTCTTTCTGTGCCATCTGTTCCCACTGGGAGACACCTCAGCAACCTGCAGACCAGGGTGTGAGGGTGCTGAGTAACTGCACAAATATTTCCCTTGCTCTACCAGTTGCTCAAGCAAAGGGAAGAGGCTGAGGCTCAGGTGACTCACCTCCTGGGGGGGGATGGAGTTGGCATCTGCTGCTGCCTCTCCTGGCCCTGCCTTCCCTCTGCCCTCACTTCATTCATTTTATGTCCTCAAACCAGCTTGCCAGTTTAGGCAGCAGGCAAGCAGGAAAAGGTGCTGAGGGCAGTTCCCCTTTCAGCTGCAGCAGTCACAGCCTCATTTGCTCAGTGATTTATTCCCCCGAGCACTGGCCAAATCCTTTACCATCCCGTGCTCTCCATATGTCTCTGCAGCTCCTTCCCTGCTCATTTGAAGGCTGACTTTCCAAGAAGCCAAACACTGCTTGAATTCATAGAAAATGGAACAACGTGAGACTTTCTCCATCTTTCTCTGTGAGAAGGAACGTGCTAAGCCTGCTATCGTGCAACACATGTGCAGTCCAGGTACAACACTGCACAGGGATCACCTGCATGGGGAAACACCAACCTGACCACACCACAGTAAAGGATAGAGCAGGTAAGTTTATATCTGCCTGTTAAAATGTATTTCACAGSAGATATACATACTTATTACTTCTAAAGATTCTATATCCAAACTCCTATATGTGAAATGAAACCCCTCACATCTAGATTTGGGCCTTTGSGTGAAATCTGGACCCAGGCCAGTGCTTCAGGCCAAGCAGCAGTGAGCGTGGATACAACAGACATCCTCAGCATATAATAATGATGTGCTAACCACCGAAGGAAAAATAATGTCAAGAGTGAAATATCTGTGTTAAAAATGCACCGACAGACTCACTGCTAGGACTGAAAGTCCTATTGATTCATATGTTACCGGGAAAAAAAATCATTAAAAAGATACGTCACAACGAAGAAATGAGGGGAAAAACTTGATTACCTGATTACCTCAGTGGCTTCAAACATCTGCTGAGAACTGGCCAGTTTTGTCAACATAAAACCTCAGCCATCACTTCCGGTAATCAAAGATTCAAAACAGAGAAAGGTTTTCAGCACGAGAATGAGTAATTGCAAAGGGAGGGCAACATGAGAGTTTGCAGAAGAGAGGAGCACCAGTGTGATCGCTATACACAGATTTTCATGTTAACACAGAGCAATAGAAGTCAGAAGCAACCACCTCCAGAAAGGAACTGAAAACATGGAGAAACTGGAGACTGCTTATCAACACCCAGAGCATGATGAGCAAAAAACAATCAAAGGTTATTGCAAAACCTTTGGGAAGGTCATCCCAAATCCTACTCATGGGGTTGCACTCGAGATAAATCCTTCCAGTTTGGGAAGGATACTGCCCTCCACCCCGCAAGAGGAACAAATAAATGAACTACCCTAATGATGATGTGGAAATAAAACTAAAAGCAAACATCTCGCCACCAGCAGCCCAAGCAGATCCCTGTCAGAAGGAGCTTGTCCCTCTCTGTTACAAAGAGCTGACACCAACTTGGTAAAACAGTGTCTTGAGCTCACGGCTGGCCTAGCAAGGGGCTCTGGTGCAACCCCAGCTTTACAGCAAGAGCTGAACGAAATCACAGATCCCAGGTGATTCAGAACAAACTCTGAAACACGGAATGAAGCTACATGTTTATTCCCAACGATCCTCCTTTCTCTTAAACACKGGGCAGACATATCACAGCGTCAGGATGTTTCCTTGGGCACAGAATGAACGACCTTGCTGCAGGACTCCCCAGAGAACACGAGACCTGAGCAAAACACTGACCTGCAACGCAGCAGAGAACCGCCGAGGCCCATAACCGGTGCAGCAACGGACTCTGAACACACTTCTGATTAAAGTTTAACTTCTCAGACTCCTGAGGCTCTAAGATTCCCTCCGCTGCCTCTGTCCTAGCAAAGAAACACAAGGGTTATTTTGAAACATTGATTTATTGACCAGAGCTGGCAGGTGCTTATAAAGATCACTAGGAAGCATTATAGAAAAATGAGCTGTTGCAAGAGCGCCGCTTGTTGCAGAGAAACTATGCTGGGGAGAGGTTCCTAGATGAGTTCTGCTGCCTAACTGATATTTTTGGTTGGCTTTGATTACAGGCATTTCTGAAAGGACTTCAGTGTTTTAAAAACACAACCCTGGTAGCCTGAGTCAACAGCTTCCTTGCTCAGCTGACACAGAATGAATGGAGACACCCAGGAAACACAACGAACAGGCTGTGCCGGGAGGATCAGATTTCCCTGGSAGGCCTTTGCTCAACAAAGCCTTATTGTTTGGGCAAAGTAGGATGCTACAGAAAGCAAAATTCAGGAGAATCACAGAACAGAGCTGGGAGATGAAGGGCTTGACAGGTTCCTGCACACGCACGGAACTCACTGTTTGCAAGTAAAGGCTGAGGCTTGGGAGCTGCTGGTGATGGTCACTGCTTCTCTACAAACAAAAGTACTCCTGGAAGATCTCTGCATAGCAGAATCCACCAGTGCTACTTAGCGCTGCTGTGGTAGCCMCTGAAATGCCTGTAAAAATCCACTTGTCCGGCTCCCTTCACAAGCAAGGGCAGCCTAACTTTAGCGATGCGCCACAGGAGACGACCTTGAGTCATGTCGACACCTGCAGCGGGTCCCCTGCTCGCTGATATGYTGCAAAAGCTCCATCTACTTGGCCACGCTACCCCTCTGGGCAATGCAGCACCTGCAGCTCTGCAAACAGGAAACTCTACAGTCTTCCAGGTGGACAGTCGTACTGTCCATYGGCCGTGGCCAGGTTTGCTCCCCAGGAGCCCCATGGAGCTTTCTAAGGATCCAGAAAGGGTCTCCTCTCCAAGCGAGTGCCAGGGCATGTGCCAAAGCACCTGAGGACACTGTGTCCTGGTCCCTAGTGTTTCAGGGTGCCAGGTTTCTGCCTGAGCTGCAGCGAAGCAAAGCCAGGAGGACCTGCTGGCGTCTCTCCGGTGTGTCCTCCACAGAAGGAGCACAAGGAAGAGAGAGCAGGGTGTCACCTGCTGAGAAGGAGCTGAGGGGTGCGGCCAAGCTAGCAAAACAGGTCAGGAAAAGGCCAAGGAATTGCTGGGTACTAACCTCTCGAAGATCTCTTGTTCTGCACTCTGTGGACAAGGAGAGAAAGAGTCATTGCAGCYGAAATTCCCATATCCCATAAATTCCCAAACAGAGGCTAAGCGCTTCCAGGGGCTGCAGCTTTTCAGGGGCTCAGCAAACCCCATGGAGATGCCCTGCTCCAAACAGGCTGATAATGYCTCATGTGGGGACCAAGCCACCACCACCCTGAGACACCAAAGCTGGAGCAAGGAGAAGACCCACCAGACACAGAAGGGGGATCCCATTCAGGCTTCCTCTCCCCAGCTCTGCCAACTGTTCATCCCCACACAGAGCCTCTATGAGCTGCTCCAGAGCTTCTCCTACAGCTTCAGAGACTCCCTGCAGAAGCCCCCAACACCCCAAATCCTGCATCCTTAGCAGCAACACATCAGAAGGGCCCCTTCCCTCCACGTGCCTTTCCACGGATGGCCTGTGCCTCAGGCAGCACTGTCCCAAAGGGAGCAAGTCCTCATCCCAAACTTGGCCTTGCAGATCAGGAGGGGGGTGTCTAACACATGTGTGTTGTCTTTGCAGAGCCTTTCTCCTTCCTTCCCTCAGGAAATGAGTGGCAAGGGCTGAGTGGGGGGCACCTTCCACTAATTTCTGCTGAGCCAGTGGCACTGGGTGACAGTGGCTCTTGCAGAGCATTAGGACTTGTAGACAGAGCTTTGCTGAGAAACACAAGCACCATTAGAGCCAAGAGTCCTGCAAGTACAGCTGGATTATCTACTGCAAGGGGAACATTGGGATGATCKACAGAACAGGAAAAGTGCTTTTGTGGGACAAATGAATGACCCAGACACTGACCTTCCCCGCAGCACCCCAATGGTTGTAACAGAGCTATTTGAAAACAAACAAACCCCTCTATTTTTAACATAACGGCCACTTCATGCCAGCCCCACACCATTTTTCTGCCCCCCAGCATTGCAGAGGTGCGTGCAGCTGCACTGGCCAGCATGGGCACACAGCAAGTCTCAGTTCCTCAGATGTGACAAGGGGAGGGCCCCAGAGTACTAAAACGTCCCAGGRAAATTCCTGATTGCCTGGCAGCCCTTCTTCTGCTCTTAGCCCAACTGCTCATTCTGTTTGCACGGTAGGGTCTGTATTATCTAAAAACGGTCAGAACAAGCATGTGGTTTTGCATATGTTCTAGATTTTGCTACGTGGGTTAGAGAATCTAAGCCAAGAGTCAAATAACCTTGGGATCCATTCTGATTGTTTCCCTACCCACTGACACTGGTGCCTTTGCAGTCTTCAAGGGCTATCCTTACTGTCAAAGAAGTGGAAAAATATGCAGACAGCTGCTCCAAGTACAGAGCTGTGCAGTGAAGCTACRTGCTGCTTCTGCTTCCTTGTGACACGAGGTGTTTTAGCTCCCCATGCCCACAGATGCTGACAGCACCAATCCAACGTGAGGAATTTATCACCCTGGTTCTGTCCCCACTGTTGAGACCGCCAGACACCAAAGCAGGGAGCACCGAGGCRACGTCTGGGAGAGCAGAGCCTGGATGGTAGTTCTGACAACTACACCTCCCTTCACGCAAAGGCCAGGCAGGACATGGGCTCTAGGAACCACAGAGAACCACAGGGCTTGTCAGCAGCAACTGAAGGGGCTTCCTGGAGCTAGATCTGCAAATCTAGATCCTGTCCAATCTGGACTTCTTTGCTGCCAGAGCAGGCAGCTCCTGAACCCCACGTTTGCGCCCCACAGGATCCACGATGCAAAGTCTAGGTTCATTTCTAGGCTGACTGAAACGTCCCTCAGCACACGGAGCAGCACCTACCACCAGGCCCTGGTCGTCCAGGTTGGTGATGACGTCCACCAGGTAGGTTCGGAGGGCAGACAGCTTCTGCAGAGCCTCGGCCCAGTGCGCGCGCTGCGTCAGGATGCTCTGGTGCGCCCGCTCCTCCTCCGCCTGCGCCTGCTCCAGCAGCCGCTGCTCCTCGTTCTCGCACGTGTTCCTCACAAAGATCAGCCGCTGGATCACCAATTCCCGAGCCTCGCTGGCTCTGCTCTGGCACAGCAAAGAGAGGGAAGGAACATGCATCTTGGCTCAAACAAGCCAGGGGACCAACAGCTGCTGCCGGCTTGCACAGGGAAAGCAGGAGGAGACCCCCGGGCAGCGCAGACCTCTGCCGGGAGCCGCCATTCCCACCACCTGGAAGCAGGGAAGGGAGTTACCAGGACGCTCTGGTTCTTGGCTGGCAGCACCTCGGCCATGTGCCTGGCTATGGCAGCGCTCTGCAGCTGCAGCCGCTCGCACTCGTCCACGATCTTGTTCTGTGGGGGCGGGAACAGGCGGTCAGGCCTAGCCAGGCCCAGCAAAGGTGGCCCGGTCCCCACGAGGGTCCCACACAGCCCCACGGCSCTGTGGGGCTCTCATGTACAGCCCCACACCCAGCTAAAACCCTGCACCCTGCCAGGGTGCTCCCACCGTCCTGCCCCCCGCTGGGTGCCCTGCACAGCTCTGCATGCCGCCGTGTGCCCCACAGCCCCCAGGGACCCACAGCCCCCAGGAACTCCCCACACGGCATCAGAGCCCCCACTGCACGCCCCACTCTGTGGGGACCCCCCCGGAGCCGTCACCCAGGGCTCCCCGTGCGCCGCAGCCGCGGGTCCCGGCGCTCACCCGCAGCTCGGCCGCGCGGTCCCGCGGCGCCCCGGCCATGCTGGC